TGCAGATCACAATGAGCTGCACACTGTAATGAATGGCTTTTCTATTCCTGGCACTTTCCTTATTGAGTGGTTTTACTCAGGAGTCAAATCCATTAGGAACTGAAATAAAAATATTTTCTCCTGATACTGTCATGGTGTCTCTATGGAGACAGCAAGCAGTAGTTTTGCCCTCTTCATACATTTTGAAAGACCAAGAGGGAAAAGAAAATGTAATTAGACAACATGCATAAACATGGATTTTTTATGCCTTTTAATCACATCATACCATATCATAAAACAAAGCATCTTTTGCTTTTAAATCAAATACAAAAATGTAGCATAGCTGATTAAATGAAGAGAGACATCAGATCAGAAAAATGTCTCTGCTACGTAGTTTTAGACTTTCACCTGTAAAGAGTGAATAAAAATAATTAATAGGAAAAGTCAGATTTTTCCTTGTATGATAGACATGATCGGAAAAATTTTTAAGCACAGTGTTAATTTAATGACACTCTGAACACTATTTCTAATAGTAACATGTGATCAGTACATTTGTGAATGTTTGGAGAAAAAAAAAGTAAATTGAAGGACTATAAATGTTTTTCTTTAATGGCAGGAGGCTTTGTTCAAGTAAATAAATAAATGTGGGAACTTAAGTTCATTCCCATTGCTACCATGTGTTCTGATGTTAAGCATAAATTAATGCCATGAACTAAGTGCTCATATTCTCTTTCAAGAGTAACAATTTCATTCATAGCTTTTGTTTATAGAAGATAAAAACATGGAAGAAATTCTGTTTAATTCCAGCTTGTCATTTTATTGAAAGTTTTTCCTGGCAATTGCTAGATTTTCAATATTCGAACTTCTCATAGATGGATTAATTTCTATAATTTCTTCTCATAAATAAATTTTCTCAGCTTTTCCTCCTTAATTTCTTAACCTTTTACTCCTTAAGCCTTCAACTGTTGGATTTTACAAGGTGGAACCATCTCTTTTTATTGTATCAACTGTATTTTTCCAAAAAAACGTCAGGCAATTTTTAAGTTTCTTCTAAGAGTCATACTGGAAAAATACAGTGAGGGAAAATATTTCTGTACACTGTCAAGTACTTAAAGCAAAAAGAAATAACAGAGTGTTCAATAACAGGGTGCAGTACTTGATTGGACACAATAAGTTCAAATTGAACACAATAAATCCAATTTAACACCAGGTATTTACTGACTTTCAGAGAGAAAAGATCAACCTGGAAAGACAATCAGCTAAATGAAAAGTAACAAGCACCAGTACCAATCACCTGATTGATATCTTCAAACTTATCCTTTAATTCACATTAAATATCAGACTTCTATGTTACACAGCCTTTCAGACGGGTAAATCAAAACTGTCTTCACATTTTAGAAAAAATAAACCTAAACCCTGAAAATTTTATGAGGAGATCAGAGCTCTTTAACAAAAGTTAATCTTGGAAGTTGATCAAATAACTTCAGGAGCACAGAGGTTACCTTGCCATCTCACTTTCAAATCTATTTAAGTAATTGAAAATTGCCAAGATGTAACACTTGTCTTTTTGCCCTTTTTGTCAGGTTAGAGTGGTAACAGGCCTCTTCATTAAGTTCTTTTTCAACTTATAAATTCACAATAGATAAATGATTGAAACTAAACCCTTTAGTGTAAAACACGTGATGTGTGGAACTTTTTAGAGTGAGGTACACAAAGAACAGAGTAGGAGATTGCCTTAATTTAGTGAAAAAAATCAGTTCAATTTTCTTTATAATTATGCAAAACAGAGTGTTAGCTAAGACTGTGTCATGAAACTGAGACTTCATGTGTGTTCATGTAAAGAATATGAATGAATATATATTGCATGAATTTATATTGCATGTTCAGATGGAAAGGCTTGCTATAATTTGGTTCTTTGAAGATGTATTCTCAGTGTGAAAGATGTTTATTTATAAAAATAACTATATAATAGAATACAAGCATGGGGAAACAATATACTCAGCTGTACATAAGAAAGGACAGACTGAGTGCATTTTCTGGGATGCATTAAAATCTAATTGCATGCCTGTCTCTTTAGTTCAGATTTTTTTCCCCTTGTGTAGTGACATGATAGTGACTTCTGTTGATGTATAGGTTACACTTTTGTCCTTCCACAAGGAAGGAAAAGGTAGAGTTGTGGAAAGAAAAAAAGACTTGTTGATGTTCCTGGTCCTATAAAGGTCTTTTTGGTTCTCAAGGCCATTTGGGCACATCAGCCCTGTCACACATTCAGCAAGGCCATTTGTCATTTATAAAACAGATTCTATCTGCCATTTTGCTATGAAAACTTGTTAAAAAGTTTACCTGAAAGATGACACAGTTCCAGAAAATTTATACAGGTAATATGATAATCCGCTGCTGCTAAACAAGGTGTTTCAGTCAGCCTTTCTCCATCAACAGCTACCTTTTGGCTGCTCTTTGATATCTTAGATCCTTTCATGGCCACTTTAAATATTATTATGTAGGGGAAAGTTTTCTGACTGTTTCCTGTCAAGATAATGTTAAAGAAGCTTTCAGAAGGCCCAGAAATGCGCAGAATATGGTTCAAGATCAGGAGGAAGATAAAGAAATGTGAGAAAGGTTTTCTCACTACAAAAACTCTGAGTTATTATTTCACCTCTACTTCCTATAAAAAAACCCAATCCCCATGCTGCAGTACTAGCAATCTGAATTATGTATTATGTCCCGCTCATTCTAGCATGCTTGAAAGCTTCTATAGCTGAAGTAACACTTATCTTTGTGAGGAAAGTCCCAAAGGTGCTACAGAAAAATAGCTTAGTACTGATGAGAAAGATCATGGATGAACATGGATGGCACTTCAAACATTTTGTCAACTATTACAGATAATAAAGCACAACAGAAGTCAATGTATTAATACCTATTAATAAAAAAGGATGAGGTTAACAAGAGTGAATTGAGTCTGTTTATGAGGAGAATACTGTAAGCTTAAACACTAGCTATTTCAAGGCATGGATGCAATTATGACTCTGGAAAGAGTCAGTACTGAACATGGAATTAGACAGAATGATTGAGTAGAAAGAAGGTGAAACAATGTCTGCCAAAAAACAATCCCAGAATATACTGCCCGAAGCCACAGTTTTAGCTGCTATAAACTGAGTTACATTCTATTGAGGAGAAAGCCCTGCATAAATAACAAGAGAACCAAAAAGGAATAAAACATATAGCAGCCTCATTTTCTGTATTTGTAAAAAGAAAAAGAAGCAAAGCCACAATGAAACTTGTTTTTATACTTATGGTGCCTCAGTTGGTCATAGCTAAATGTATCAAACTATAAAGGGATCAGTGAGAGCTACAGGGAAAAATGCACAAGTAAGACCAAGTTTGCCCATTGCCTTATACACTATCTGGCATCTGAGAAAATATCTTGACTGGTATGATTGAGAGCCTTTCATGTGAACAGGGACTAAAGAAATCATTGCATGAGTCAAACATTTCACACATGCACAGAGGAAAGACTTGTAAGCTTGAACCTGCTACCCAGAGCAGATGGCTGCTTTGTTACCGTAACTGTGAAAGTTTCTTTGCTGTAGAAATAGCTGCCATACCAGAATATTTAGTCCTGAGTTTACATTAGAGTTATACTGATCTTCCATCCTGATTTTTTACTAGATTTTTTAGTATTTGTCTAATATATTTGTTATAGGTAAATTTTAAACTCATCAAATAAATAAATCAATTTGTAACACATCCATAAGAATCATTGAGTCCACCTTCCTACTCCTTGTAAAATGACCTAAAATGAAAAAAACTGTAAACCATGGGAATAAAATTATCTAGATATTCTAGAACTCGGGCAGGCTTGGCAAAGCCTTTTCTGGAGACCAGGTTCCAGTGATTGATCACCCTCTCTCAGTGAAGAACTGTTTTCTAATATCAAGCCTCAACTTCTCGTGATACAGCTTCACTTCATTTCTTTGTGACTAGTCATCAGAGTTTGGAGCTCAGAACCTTCTCCTCTGCTGGTCCCTTGAGGAAGTTGTAGACTATGATGAGGTTGCCCTCAGCCTTCTCCAAGCTGAATGAATGAAGTGATCCCAAACTCTCCTCAGCAGTTTAATCCTTCAGACCTTTTACCACCTTTGGAGTAGTCCTCCTTTGGATGCTTTCTAAAATGCTTTTCATATGCTTCACTTATTGTCACGCCCAAAACTGCACACAGGCCTTGAGGTGAGGCTGCAGAGCAGCGGAGTGGGACAATCACCTCTTTTAATAAGTCACTTAGCCTTTGTGCTTTGTCTTTGTCCCTGTTTTAAGGTGGACTAACCTCATCAAGTTAATAATATGATGTTAGTGTTACCAACACTAGATCAGAGTTACTTCTGATCTTCCTTTTACTTTTAAAAGATGCCAAAAAGCCTTTTTTTGGCCTTCACAGGTTGAACTCTACTCAAGCTATGGCCTCGTGAACTTTTCTCCTACAATGGCAAACAGAATCTCTGTACCCCTCCTGTGCCACCTATCCTGGCTTCCAATGTCCTTAGACTTTCCTTTTCTACCTAAGTTTTAGTCTGGTTTAAGAAAGTTTACAGCAGCCTGAACATCTTAAAGTAGAAGGTAGTGTGCTATTTAATGATGGGAGTGGATATATAAGTTTGCCAGTGGAAGGAAGGCAAGCAGAGGAAAATCTTTAGGTACTGGATTTAAGTATCACCATGAAGTCATATTCTGCCATGTTCTCTCATGATATTTTTTCTTTGTTTCAGGAATGGTCTCATTAGCATAATTTAATCTTCATGCATAGCAAATCACTGACTGCTACGAATAAACATAATGAAATCTAATCCTTGGTGAATGAGTGGCATAAACTGGCACTGTCTATGGAATGTTAAAACCGTCTAGGTTAACAGAAAATTAATCATGTCAGTGTAGTATTCACTTAACAGAGACATTTATTATTTTAATAAGGCAATAAAATTAATTAAACTAGACTTGTTCTTCAAATTTAACTGCAAGCATATTTTCTTACTTAACAACTCACCCCTCTCTTTGGACTAAGTTTTCTTCTTCTCCACTTTATCCAGGCCACAAATAGGAAACATCTCAGATAGTTTTCCAAGCCCATGTGGGGCTTTCCAACCCATCTAAAAGAAGTCAAACCAGGAGAAAATGCTTATGACATATGCAGTGATACTGACTCCTGTCTTAACATTCCTTGTGGTTTAAAATTGTAAGATTGGTAGTACAACCTCATAATATATAAGAAAAAATGACAGTACCCAAGGAAGTTCCAAATGACAATATTCCATTTTACCAGGCCAGAAAAAATTAGAATGGAATTTTTCAAGTGTCCCGTTAGAACGAAGAGAAGAGAGGTGCTTGATCTTATTCCAATGTGCCTATATGTCCTTTTCAAGTACAATATCCATGGGGTATGAAGTGTTTTCCATGAATTTCAGATAGGTCTGGGAGAAGATTTGTCCAGGAACAGCTGTCATAGAAAAATAAATACATTCAGCAAGCACAACTTTTTTTCTTTCTCAGATATGATAATTCATTTACCACTTTTATTCCCACCCCTCCTCCCAGCTATGGCACACTTTCTGTGGCCTTCAGAATTCAAGCATGCATCCCAGAGCACATATCAGAATGTGAGGGAAACTCACCCTCTTCTGGTAAGCTCTCTGGGCTATAGAACTCAAACAAGGGCCCATTGTATCTCTCTTTGGATATAGTAGGTAATGACTTAGGTATCCAAAACACACGGTGTATTTTAGTGTTTCTGTTGTTTGATTGGCTGTGCCATAGACTTTGCTTTTAACAGTTAGTTGCCTCAATTTGCCTTGAGACAGGGTGAAGTAAAATGTAATGAAATATTTGTTTATAACACCCTAAGTAGTCTTTGAATGTACTGGTATTTACAACAGATATTGCTAAAGGCAAAAAGTATTGCTTTACTTTTAGAAAGATATTTATGTATCTTTTCTAGAGTAAGGATCATCCCTGAATATGAACAGCTGGTAGACATCTGGTCTCACTGAAGTTAAAACTCCCTTATTCTTTTTAACTCAATGGGATGTTACAGTTCAAAATATGTTCTTACATTCTACAACCAATGTATCACAAATACACAGAATACACTAAAGAAGACAAATACACATACCTATTTTCTGGTATTTGACTGTCACCAGACACAACACTCATTAGTTAATTTCAGATACTGATCCACAACTCTTTTTCAATCATGCCCTATTATAAATAAACTTTCTCTCTACCCAGATACTTGATTTGGTCAATAAGTACTCCTATTTTTATTATTAACTTCAATATTTTACTTCAAATGTATAAATAGGAAATGATGTAACAACTTCTAGAGAAAACAAATTCTTAATCATAACTGTAATCTAACAGTGGACTTGATAATCTTAAAGGTCCTTTACAAGTTAAACAATCCCATGATTCTATTATTCCTGTTGAAAACATAAAACCCTAGTGGTTAGAGTAAAATTCTTCAATAACTTTTGAAAATGCGCAACTTTTTTGGCTTTGGCTTATATGGACCACAGTTCCCAGAGAGAAAATTTGTTCATATTTCACAGCACATTTTTAGTATGTCTGTTGATGAGAGATTTCCAGTCTTGCTGCTGCTGCTGCTCAACTTCTTTCATTTTCTGTGGTGTCTCCCAGTATGACAACTTACTGTAACTCTGAGTGAGATTGATTCTGAGAAAGAGAGAGATGGTTGGCTTCCAGTCACTGAAGTTATTTTCTTCCTTTACCTTTCCCAGCCAACTGTTCTGTTAGCAGAATTCTCTCTCAGCAGGCAGCTGTCAGTGCTGTTGCTCAAGTGTTTTTGCTAGTGTGTGCTCTCATTGAGCCATTGAAAATAAATTTCATGATGCTTCCTGTTTAGATATTTTGGCCTTTCCAATGAAACTGCACAGCAAAACAGCTAAAAGCTGACCTTTCTTTTTTTACAGAGATTGCAGTATCTTTTTACGGAGAGACTGTAGTATCCCAGACTTGTGTACAGAATGGGAGAAACTCCACATGAGATTCCTGTTGTTCACTCTTTTTTACACCACACAGTTTGTAGTCTCTGTTAATTCTGGATTTATTGTAGCCAGTCTTTCTGCCACTTAACCACCACACATACAGACCTTGCATATCTCCCATATCTCTTTTAAAGAAACAGACCTTCCACCTTCTGAAGTCTTAAATTTTGAAATTAACGTGGAAGAAGTAGTAAAGTTTTCAGTAGAAGGAAAATTAGAATAAGTGGTGTGACTGTGGAACTTGTGTATATAAATATATATATATATGTATATATATATGTATATATATATATATATATATATATATATATATATATATATATATATATATATATGATGACTACTAGGATAAAGAGCTTTTAAATGATATTCTAGTTCTGTGCTGAGCTCCCCCTATTTATCCAATTTACACAAAGTAAAATCTCAGTCTTTTTTCAAGTTCCTGATGTACTTTCTCAGTTGCATTTACTTTTACATAATAAGAATTATTTTGTGCTTTTTTTCTGCAAAATGGAAAGAACTTTCAATGCATATCTGATGTCATATTTTTTTAAAATAATATTTGCCATTTTCTAGTAGTTATAATCATAGAACCTGCTCTTTACCTGGAAGGGAAAAGAACCCTTTCTTTTCTAAACTAACTGAATGAAAAAATCCAGTAAAATTTTAGACAATTTTTTTTTCATTTGAGAAGCTTACGCTATCTAAATTTTGAAAAGTAGAAATTCACTGTTCTAGGATACAATGTCTATTGAGATTTGAAATGTTAAGACCTTTTGAGAAGTCTGAATTGCATCTAGATTCTTATAAAGTTAAAAGTGATTTTTTTTTCCCAAAATTCAGTTGCATTTTATAAAATCCACTGTAAGCCAAGTAATGTAGTGATAATATGAATACAGCTGATTATTCATTGTACTTTTCGTGTCTCATATTTAGAAATATGAAAGGGTTGCTTTTTTTCAGAATATTTGTCTGTTTTTCTTAAAATGAGAATATTGACTCAGTGATTCAAGTTGTCTCATGCAGATGTAAATGTGTTTCACTTACAACTCTGCGTAAGTAGAGTCACTCAAATGTTGATGAAATGTTGATGGAAATAATTCTAAAGTATTTTTTTGGATGTTATTAGGATTTTTTTAGAGATCACCAGTATATTTGCATACTTTAAAATAATTCCTGCTCAGTTGTTCATCTAGACATTTCCTAAATCATCCCTTTCTCCTAATCACTAAGGCATTAGATTTAATGTTACTCATTTCTCATTCTGTGCTCCAGGATTTTTACTATACTTAATTTTTAGCAAATCAGAGTCCCTCTTTTAGGAACTCTGACCGAATATTCTACAGCAACTTCACAGTTCTTCTGGAACTAAATCAAAGTGAATTATAAGACCTTTAAGGATTGTTCTGAAATCTTGTGTCTATCTGAGCTAAATTCCCGACTCTAATTTGTCTACACAAACGAAAGTTTTTCAGATATTGCAGAAAAACATTTTGGCATAATTTTTTATTGAATAATTCTGAATTTTTTTATTTTATTGAATAATTCTGAAATATTAGCTTTGCCAGGATAAGATTGAGGGTCACCTGTTATCCCCTGAGAGTTCCTGCATTCCTCAGTATATGGCACTGTCAAACTCACTTCTGTTAGCTCCAGAGGATGCCAAGACTGATATTATGGTGTCACTCTCAGTGCCCTTTCTGTAAGTACTTGCTGTTGTGCAGCTCATCACATGTTTTTCTGCAATCACCTGATGAAACTCACCAAAGACATGCAAAGGAACAGTGTTTAACCAGAGTGGTCGCACATTAATTAGCAGCTTGATATAAAGAGTTCTATAACTTTCATGCATTCATTTAAATTTATTTCTTTTGTGTATCTTGTTTGTATCAATTTTGATGAATGTCCAGCATCATACTGTAGACAGGCTCCCTGACAGCAGCCAGATTTTGTTTTTCAGTGTTAGAACTTCAGCCTGAGCATTCTGACATTCGATATGGAGCTGAGATGTAAAGGTCTGATGGGCAATTATGACTGATCAGAGTTCCATACCAGTGGTACAGAAACTTAGATGTTTTTACAACTATTATTCAGTGTCAAGTGTTGCAATCTATTTTTCCCCTGTGCACTATCAATGGAATAAGCCAAATCATTTGTGATGGAATACATATGAAATGTAAGATATATGTATAATACACCTTACAGATAGGCAAATGTGAATTTGTTTTAATAGAGGAGGGGCTGGGAATAGAAAGGTATTTATTCTTTGTTTTACAAATAATACACTAATTGCAAATAGTTCTCCTACCTTCTCTTTTCTTTTTCTGATGGAAGAAGAATTGGTTTTGACCAGCAACAGTGCAGATTACTGTTGCAGTGTCACAAGGAGGATGTATCTCAAAAAACAAGCCAAGTATGGTTTAAATATTTTTCCCCAATATTGGCTAAATAAAGATATTTTTAAAGGGTTATCTAGCTTACAACTAACTTTTAGATACTTAAGAATATACAGGACAATACATTCATCTTAAATCTCTGTTTCATCTTCTCTGGATGCATAATTTTCAAAAGAAATGGTAAGCTTCTTCACTGAAGAGCATTAGAAAAGTTGACATTTTTTTTCCTAACAAGAAGACAACATTAGACTTCAAGTAATACCCTGGCAAAAAGCTGCCATGTCAATCTGTGCTGTATGTGAGGTGAAGATAGGACTCAATAGGGAGAATTTAGTAATCAATGACAAGATAAATACAGAACAAAAATAATCTAATTCCTCATGACATAAATTTATTTCCTGCCAGCTCACATCTGGATTCATCCTGGATCAAATTCATTCATCTCTAACAGAGCTATCACAGTTCAGAAATAAAATAAAAATTGCATAAATTATATGTCTACTGAAATTTGGAGGCTACAGGATTAGTCATTTAGTGACAGCTTTGAAATAGATATTCTGTTGAATACCATATGTTTTTAATGCTTTTAATCAAACTACTTCTATGAAGTTTTTCTGGTAAAATCACTTAAGTATGTGCAAAATATTCATGGAAATCAAAATTTTAGGCTTAATTTTAATATTCAGGTATTCATTGTGAGAAGAACTAACTCTAGGAAATTAGTCATTTTCCATACACTCACATAAACAATAATCACTTTAAACGGAACAGTTACATGACAAGGCCACTTTTGTAGTTACCAGGACAACAAAGCTGAAGTTACAGATTCAAACAATTAAGTTAGTTCAATTCACAATAGGAAAATTTTTATTCTTTATAATTGAGGCCTCAAGGGTAGAAGTAACTTTTTTAAATTGCAACATGCTATTCTGAAAGGTTGGGATCCATGATAAGTTCTTGCTCAGCTGCTGTTGTATTTTCTGAAGCTGTTTGGATACCAAAACTTATTAATAATTGACAAAAATAAAGATAGCTTTTAT